CGTGGAAGAGGAAGCTGCCGGGACCCTGGCACGGAGCTCTGTCTCGTGGCCGACCTGGCACTTGCCCCTCTCGCCTGCTTAGCCCTGCGAGGGCAGGAAGCAGTGCAGCGCCCCAAACCCGCTTCCTGTTAGAGCATCTTTGCAACCACAGGGCCTGGGGTGGGGGAGGTAGCTGACATTCACATCCTCACCCATTGCTGGGCCTTGCTCATTGGTCAAGGGGAGGTGATGTCAGAGCCCTGGGGTGGGTGCTGGCGCCTGGGGCGTGAGCAGGTGACTGTTACGCTTGGAAACCAGAATGCCGGGGTCCCACTGTGGAGACCCAAGGCTGGCCCCAGAGCAAGGCAGCTCAGAGCTGCGCAAAGCACACAGAGGAGAGAGGACCCGGGCCTGGCCCAACAGGTCCTCCCTGGGCCTGTTTTCACACATAGGATCTTCAAGTCCTTCCAACTCGAACATGCTGGGGAGCTCCTTTGCAGTTTGGTCTCTGCCTGCCTCCCCCGCCGGAGCTGCTGCAACTCCCGCACACAGGGATGCCCAGCGGGGCTGCCTGTCCCACTGGGGACTCAGAGGTCGCTGCTGGTCTTGGGAGGTCATTTCTTTGCTACCCCCTCCCAGCCACAGGCATCTGACTCCATCCTCCTGGACCACAGGGGGAGGTGCTGAGACAGACGCAGGTGTTCAGGGTTTACACAGCTCAGGGAGCCCGACAAGGACCAGGCAGAACAGGTATCATCTGTTTATTTAAAAACAGAATGTGGTTTTATGTACAAATATGGACATATTTACATAGAATGTACATACTAGGATCCCAGATCCAAAGTCCCGGGCTGGTTGGGGAGCAGGGCTGGGAGTCTCTTCTTTGGTCCAAGAGTCCAGAACATTCCAGGCCCTGCAGGGTTTGGGCACTCAATCTCGGTACTTGTACTGAGTGTGTCTGGGTGAACCAGGCAGAAATGGGCCTTATCTAACTGCAGCTTCCACCCATAGAAATGGCCAGGAAAGCCCTGAGGTGGTGGCATCAAGACCCCCGGGGAAGGAGACAGTCTGGCCCCCAGCAGCTCCTTTGAGTCCCCTGAAACCCCACCCTCTCTCTGCAACAACTGAACTAGGAACCTTCGTCACCAAGTCCCAACAACCCCCCAAGGGACCACAGGCAACTATGGACACAGCAAAGAAAACAGGGGCCCAGGGGACCAAGGACAGATCGTGCCCTCGGAAGCCATGACCAGGGCATACACCTCAGACCCCACTGGCTCCAAGCTCCCTCCCACAAGGCCACCTGGGCTAAGAGTCCTCAAAAGGAGTACAGGAAGTGAGTCCCTGGGATGGTCTGGGCTGTGCTGAACTCCTGGATGAACGGGCCTCGTTTTAAGGAATGATGGAGAAACATTCACATAAATGAAAAATTTGTTTAAAGATTTTTCTCTTATTAAATGGTTCATAGCACTAGTCCTCAAAGAAAGTATGTGCCTGCAGCAGGCCCCGCAGCCACCAGAGGGCAGAGGGCTCCTCTCTAACCGCTCGCTGGAGCCTCTGGCGGACCCAGGCTGGCTTCACACTCACCCCAGGGCTCCCAGGGGTGGGAATCCAGCTCCCCCACTCAGGAGGCCAGATTCCAGCTCCAGCTGTGCCTGCACACCTGGAAATGACCCACAGTCTCCACCTCTTGCCTCCAACCTCTGCATCATTATAATACTGCTCTGGGGTGTGAAGAAAACGCCTGCATTTGCAGGCAGAGGCCACACAGCTACACAACACTCCCCACACAGCTGCCTGAGACCTGGGGCACAGCAGCAACAGGCACTGGACTCTGAGAAACAGCACGACACATGGGCACAGTCATTCTCCACACACACACTTGGCCAACACACACACACACACACACACACACACACACACACACACACACACTGACCTGCACACATGGACAGGGACTCAACCAATAGAGCCATCTGGGTGTCAGACACAAGGGCTGGAGGAAAAGGTGGAGCAGTCATCAGTGGGCTGTTTGGGGGGGCCCCTGAGATGAGCTGAAAGCCCCCATGTCAGCAGAGGGAGCCAGGCTTCGGGGAGGTGGGCCTGGGTCAGACCAGGTGCCCCCGCCCATTGATGTAGATGCCATTGCCCGTGGGCTTGGCCCGCAGCGTCCCGTTCTCCTGCACAAAGTGGTTCATGGCCTGCTTGATGCCTTCGTCGCAGTCCTGCTCCTCCTCTGCCCGCTCGGAGCCCGGAGACAGCAGCTCAGTCTGCGTCTCTATCTCTCGCACAGTGGTCAGCGTGGAGTAACTGCGGCCCTCCGGCTCTTCACTCTGGAGACGAAGGGTGGAGGGCATGTGAGGAACCAAGACAGGGCAGTTATACCCTGGGGGGCCAGTGGGGCCAGGTGGGGCCAGAGGTCAGGCATAAACAGGGGGTCGGGGGTCATATCTGTCTCAGAGACACAGGGGTCAGAGAAGGAGCTGGGAGCAAATGTTGGATGTGGGGACGGAGATGGAGACAAAGGCAGAGCAGGGGTGAGGGGCTGGGCAGCCTGAGCCAGGCTGAGATGAGACATGAGGGACAGGAGAGGAGGCTGCTGACCCACCATGTTGGGAACAGGACAGGAGCCTGGGAAGAGCAGTGGGGACACCGGTGGGGCCGGGGGCCTCACCATCACAGAGCAGCTACTGTTGTCCTTGAGACTATCAGGGTGGCCCTCGGCTCTCAGCCCTACACTCTCCTCCGGCTGCAGGGCCCGGACATGGGGAGGAATCAGGACAGGGCTCGGCCTCTTCACCTTTGTCTTCCATCAGCCTCCTCCCTGATCACCACTCCTCCAAACCCACATGTCATTCTCTCCCAGGTACAAACAGCTTCATGCCCACCCCCAAGTCCTCCCCTGCCCCCAGGTACTGATGGTGGCTTCCCAAGGAACCCAGGAGACCCGAAGCAGCCATACCCCCAACAGTGCCCCAGCCCAGCCCCAGCTGTGAATCAGTGGCCAGACCCAGGGGAGGGCTGTGCTCCTGGTCAGCAGAGGGGCACACACCTGGTTCCTGGGGTCGGAGTGGTGGGAATGCAGCCTCCGGATGGAGTTCTCCCTGGTCAGGGTCAGCTCCTCCTCACTGGGAAAGACACCCTTTGTCAGAAGCGCAGGGCAGTGGTGGCCTCCACGGTAAGCTCAGCCTGGCTGAGCCTCTGTGAGATGGGCCATGGCTGCTGTGCTGTCCCTGCAAGTGTGACTGGGTGGCTGCTGGTGGCGGTGTGGCTGCAAAGCGTGTATGCATGTGGTGACACCTGGTTGTGTGGATCTGACCCTCACGCAGGCAACATGGTTCTCCTCATCCAACTGTGGTCCAGGCTCCGAGCTCCTTCCCACCTCCCGAAAGGCTGCCCCCAGATGTGAACCACCCAGTCTCCTCTCTCTCCTTGGTCTTGGCCCACCTGCTGCTTGCCTCCTCTCTGTCCCCAGCCCAGTTCTCCCTGTCCCAGGGCAGCCAGTACTCACTATTTCTGGGTCATCTGCTGCGCCTTGCGCCGATGGTATCGCGACATCAGCAGCACCACCACCACCAGCAGGCAGAACAGGAGGGCGGCAATGACACCCACCACCACCACAGAGGCTGACACCAGGTCCACCTGCTTCACCGAGGCCTCCTCTGGGTCTGCTGGAGACAGGCTGCTGCCTGAGGCAGGTGCCCAGGTGCCCAGGTCCCCGACGCGCACTCCCCCTGCCCTTTCACAGAGGACATCCAAACCAGCCCCTGAGCCTGACCCTCTGCAGAACACATGCAGCCCAGGCCCCTCCAGTTCCCTCTGTCTTGCTCTGTGGCCCCCAGACCCTCAGCCCAGGTCCCTGCTTCTGCCCAGACTTACCAAGAACCTCCACAGTGACCTGAGAATCCCGGGAGGCCAGCTCATTGCTGACGTGGCAGACATAGATACCACTGTGTTCCGAGGTCAGCGGGGGGAAGCCCAGGGTGTCCCCTTCCACACGCATCCCACTTGGCAGAGGCCCGTCCAGCCTGGAGGACAGGGAAGCTGATGGGTGCTGGCTGGGCAGGCTGAGGCTGCCACCACCCAACATGCCCAGACCACGCTCCACCTCCTTCCTCTACCGTCACCCAGAGCCGCAGGCTGTTCCCACGGTGCCCCTCCCACCCCCAGGCAGGTCTAGGCAGAGGCCCCCTTCTCCCTGCAGCCCAGCCTGACCCAGGTACCCCTACACACATGCATGCCATCACACATGCTCCCACGGGCATCCCATCACTAGCACTGGGCACCATGCACACATGGCATGAAGTCTGCACAACAGAACACTTCATTCCTGTCTGGGCTCAGATGTACTTGGAAAAAGTGACTGGTGCCCCCACACCCATGCGCTGCACACAGTGTCCAGGAGCAGAGCCCAGGCACAAGGCCGTGTGCCCGTCCTGGGCTCACACACGTGAGCGGACCCTCCCTGAGCCCCTGGACTTCAGACCCTGTAAAAAGCCAAGCCCTCCTCGAGGGAACCTGCAGAGGTAGTGGGTGCTCCTGGGTAGGGCCCTGACACCACCAAGTGGTCACAGGAGCGTGGGTTTAACAGCAGTTACAATCAGCTGTATTGTTTTGTCTTATCCACTGTAGGAATTTACATAAATATATAAAATATTAATATTTAAGTACTGTATTACACTTCACCATGTAAAAGTTAGAAAAAAAAACAAGGTCTTTATTATTTTGTTCCCTAAAATGATCACATATCCGAGATTCATGGTGCAAGCCAGTAACATTTGGTGACCATGGATGTTCTTGTGTCAGTCTGAACCTGTGCCCCAACTTACCTGGGGCTCAAAATATGTTGTCCCAGCCCATAATGAGTACATGCTGGCCTTAGAGGAGAGGACCCTGGTCCCAAGTGAGGCTCTCCCCAGGCCTAGGCCCTTACCGTGTCCAGTTGTAGGAGGGAGGGGGCTGCCCCTCACTCAGGCACTTGAGCATAGCACCTTCTCTGCCAACCTGCCACAGTTTCTGGTCTTCAAGGCCCCTCACAGAGGCCTCAGCAAGGACTGGGATGGAAGATGGGAAGAGAAAAAATGGGAATGGTGGCTTTGATTTTGCTGTTCCTCCAAGGCCCCCACCCAGACTCCACCTACCTGGAAGAGCCCCCACTGCCATCTCCTTCCCACCCCTCAATGCCAGCCCAGCCCAGCCACACCTGGTTGATGGTGCCTCACCACATGGCTCCCTCCCCTCTCTGAGCTCAGAAGGTCCACAGTGGTTACTGGTGCAAGGAGCCCCTAAGTGCCTCACTGTACCCACATGTCACTCCTGGGCTCCCTACCCACCCCCATGATGCCCAGCAGAGCTGGTACTTGGTAAATGCTCCCTGATTCTTGGAAAGCTAAACAGTCCTACTACTTCATTCATATCCTTAACCAACATTTGTTGAGGACCAAGTTTGTGCCATATGCTGGGTCAGTACAAGTAGAAAACAGTCTCTCTTCCCAGAGGCTCAAAACCTAATGGCGGGAAACACCTGCTGTTCTCCAAGCACCTTCACTGCACTGAGCGCCCTGTGAGATGCTCTGCATTCCAGCTCCTACCTCCCACCTCCCATCGGAGCCCTGAAGGTGGTACCATTACACTCCTGCTGAGGAGGAAAATGAAGCCTATGAGGCTGGATGACAGCTGGTGAACATCAGCCCTCAAGCTTGTCCCACATCTGTCTACAAACCCTCGCCTGTGCATTTCACAAAGTGGTCGATTCCAAGTTTACATGTAATCCTCCCAGAAGCCCTTTGTAAAGAGCAGGGCACTGAAGGTCAGAGGCCTAAGGTCATCTGGGGCGGGCTCCATCCAGGTCTTCTACCTCTCTGCCTGGTGCTCTCTCAGCCCCATGTTGTCGCCACAGAACCCAGGCTGGCCTACTGGTGTGGCTCAGGGTTTCTCAGCATCTCATCCATCCTCTTGAAGCCCATGGGGCTCCCACCTGAGATCCCAGTACTCACAGGCCACTTGGAGGATGTGGGTGATCCTCTGGTCCTGGAGCAGGCCTGGGTGGGAAACCACACAGGTGAGTGGCTGCCCATTCATGCTGCGGCTGGGCACCAGATGGAACTCAGAAGTGACAGCCGCAGAGCGGGAGTGCTTAAAGGAGCGGCTGGACATGGTGCCCTTGACCTCTGTGTCCCAGGTAACGTTGGGGGCTGGGCTGCCCTCGGCTGTGCAGGAGGCAGCCAGAGTCAGGCCCTGGCCCTCTTCGAGCGCTGGACCAGGATTCAGTGAGGGCAGGGGAGGCACTGCAGACGGAAGAGGTGAGATCACGATCTGCACAACCTGTCAGAAGGCCCCATCTCAGCTCAGCCCCATACAGGTGCCAACTTCCAGCCCCTTTTTCTTCTCTTATTTCACCAAGAAAGACACCAGGCTAGTGGCAGACTCTCATCTGACTTTATACCTTTGTCCATTGTTAGTATTTTCTACAGTGAACAAAGGTCATTTTTAAATGAAAGGAATAAAGTAATTATAAAACTAACCAGATAACATATATATAATAATAGGTACCATTTATTAAGCACTTACTATGTGCCAAGTATTATGCTAAACACTTCACACGTTATCTTGTTCAGACCTGTCAGCAGACCCCTGAGGTACACAGATGCTGTTACCCCTGTTTCACAGGTAAGAAAACTGAGGCTCAGGGAGGTTAAATGATTTGCCCCAGATCATCAGCTATTAGGCACTCAAGCCTAGTTCACACTCTCGTTTTCTAACAGGCTGGTGGATAAAGGGAAATGATAAGGACCTTTTTTATCTCCAGAGCATTAACGGCCCAAGCACAGAATGGAAAAGACTTAAGCTGACCACAGGTCTGGGGCTTCCGCTGACCACAAGTGCCCACAGTGATCTAAAGGGCAATCGTGGCCTCTGACCACATTCACTGAAGGCCCAGATCAAGAGAGGCGTATCCTCCACGGACCTGCATGGCCAGCTGGCCATACCTGGGCTGCACGTCCACATCTAGGCCCCATGTGGAGCCCCGGTTCGGGGGGCTTTGAGTGAGTGTTTTTGGTAGAACTGTTAAAAAACCAGTAAGTGCAGCCAGGAGAAGAGAGAGTTGAGTGGGAAAGGGGGAAGGTCCTCAGCTCCTTATTGTTGTATTTCTGTTTGTTTTGTTTGTTTTACCTCACCCGAGGATATTTTCTCCACTGCTTTACAGAGAGAGTGGAAGGGAGAGAGGAGAAAACAGCAACGGGAAAGCGACATTTCGATGGGTTGCCTTCCCCACGCACCCCAATCGGGGCCAAGGATCCAACGTGCAACCCAGGTGCGTGCCCTTGGCCAGAACCCAACTGAGACCCTTCAGCCCGAGGGCAGGCGCTCTAACCACGGAGCCACCGGCCAGGGCGGTCCCCAGCTTTGAAATGTGGCGGCTGGACGGGGTCACGCGGACCCAGGTCGTGAGGGAGGCCTCGTGCGTGGGCTGGGCGGCGTGGGGGAGGCCGGGACGGTATCCCGGCGGGGCCAGGGGCAGGCCAAGAGGAGGGGCGCCGGCTCGCGCAGGAGGCAGAGCGGGGGCGCCGTCCCAGCGGGCGGGGAAACCCACAGGGAGGTTTCGG